CATGTTTTATAATAACATGTCTAATAATATAAGATAGCTTTAATTTATGATAAATGTTTATTTTAAATACAGATATATCTCACTATTCAAAGGATTGATTGATGTAATTAACTATTGAAAGTGAAAGGACAAAGAAAAGGCTAAGTTTAGAAAAGAGATGCTGATTCAATTCAAATTGGAACACTGTTCAGTTATTGGTTCATATCTGTAGTTATAGATCTTGGATTTTAGTTTAGTTTATATGGATAAAAAGCAAAGACATAGGCTTAATACATTTATGAAGAGTTCAAACTCAATTCTGCTGTTTAGAAGTCCAAATTTTAACATAAAAAAAGAAGTCTAAATTTGTCCTGCATACACTATTTAGTATTTAGCCTATATCTTGAGTTATAGATGTCCAAAAGCTAAGATAATTTTCTAGAAATTTTATGAAGACTATTTCTTCAAATTTTGATTCAGTAATGACCTTTTTTGCAGATAAGAAGATAAAGACTGTTTCCAAGTCAAGAGATGGTCAACTACTTAATAATTAGTCATCAAATCAATAGTTTCAAATTTTGGCCTATAAAAGAAGGTATTTGCTATGCATTTAGATATCTTGGTTTTCAGATGAAGATCATGTTCTTGCTCTATTTCTTTTTATTTTTGTCATACTTAAGTTTTACTTTCATTAATTTCTTGTCTATACCTTTCATTTCCTTTACTATACTTGTATAATCATGTTCTTCTCTTAATTTTTTATGTTTCTCTTTTTCATTATGTTTAGCTAAATTTATTATGTCAAGATGAACAAGTTTCACTAATGATGTCAGGATAAGTATAATATAAACTCAATATGGACTTTAATGATTATATCCTAAACAACTTGCTATTAAAATGTCTTATCATTTTTATCTTACTAATTTTTAATAACTTGCTTGTTAAATGGTTCATCTAAATCTGTGTTGTATAACACTCGGTACAACAAATGCTCGACTCTTTCATAGCCAACCATATGGTATAACCTATATCTGTGCTATGAAAGGAACTTGATTAACATCTTTAATTCTTGATAATATTTTAAAGTTTGGTGTTACTTAATTAAGATAAGCAATATGATCATGTTAATAATTTATAATGAGTTATTAATGAAAAATCATCTGATTATAACTTCCTTTCTGTGTGGTTTCTAATTGAGTAATAAAAAGAGTTTATAATATATTTATTTGAAATACCATTAGTAGATCCTTTAACCTTGATAACTGTTTTTATCTTTGATTAATACTCATATCAATATACATCTCAAGTCCTCTCCTCCTCATCTTCCTCATTATTACTATTTATAATTTATATAGTTAACCTTTCTATGGTTCGACCTCGGTCTTGCCGGGTTATTTATTACTTTGACACTCCTGCACATAGAAAAAGACATCAATCTTTTAGTCATGTCAACTACCAACATATAGAATCACACTCTATCTCTTTTAGATGAGAACCTGATGAATCTGAAGCTCCTCTATATCCTCTTCTATTCCTTACTGACAATGCAACAAATAGATATATGTAGATGGAGTTATGTTATGTTGAAGTTTCAATCTTCTTCTTGTTTTTTAGTTCAAGTCTATATCTTCTCCCTACTTCTATATTTTAATATTGACACTAGTAAGAGAAAATTATAGATGATATGAAACTACTATATGTTTTCTTAGATTACGTAGTAGTGGAGCCACCAATGGATCTCTATAGAGGGAGTTCTACTTTATTGAAGTTCAATGTATACTCCTATTTTTTCAAACCCATATGTTGCATTGCCATGTTTCAATGTATAATGAGCCTCTATTTGATCCCTTTCTTTATTTTCCATCCTTTTCTCAGTATAGTGTACTAAACCTCAGGTAAGGGCAACCTATGTTTCAACCTTGGGGCAAGCATGATAAATGTATGCGCATGCTTTTATATGATGAACTCATCCTTCAAGAGATAACTCATGGTCATAACTCTTGCATAATCAAATAAGAATTTCAATTCTTACTCAAACTCTGCAACAAAAATTCCCTAGGCGACAATCAATGTGTCACCTGTAAGTCCTGAATTCGAAATGCTTCAGAAAGGGCTAGCTTTGTTGCAAAACAATGTAAAGGGAGCATATATCCTAAATACACGTTCTAATTATTTTATGTGAGAAAAGAGGTAGGTTTACTACTTGGTCTCTAAGAAGAGATTTCTTGTTATCCTAGTGATCATCCTCCAAAGGTTGATATCAAGCCTTACAAGTAGTGTGAAGATTGAGGCCTCAAATAATATCGGACTGTCATACCAACCACTATCGAGTAAACAATCAAGCAAGAATTTGATGGTTTCACGAGTTTTACACAGGCTAAAGTCATTGAGGTATTGTTACTTCCCCACTTAACTTAAAGTTGATATAGCAAATATTTAAAATGAAAAGAGTGGTGTGTGAAGGCACAAATCCATATCCAATATGTGTATGATGACATGAATAAATTTGGATGCTAAAGCTAAAGAAATAAAACAAAAATTCATAACAAAAAAAAACACAACATGACAAATAATTTTAGCAATTAACAAACAAAAAGCAAAGCTTAGTAGAGTTCCCATATGAAGTTGTTACTCTATCATATCCAACATCGCGACAACCTTTAAAAATTCAAAATTTGGCAAAGAAAGAATAGATTTTCTGACATGTTTTTAGGGGGATGTCTTGTTTAAGGAATCGCTACCTAGTATTATAATTACTAAAAACCCTAATTGATCAACAAAGATTCTATGGTACTAGACTGGTTATACAAAAAAAAATATATTATCACTCCTTAAATATTCTAACTGAGGTAGGTTGCATTGCTAGTTTTATCTTAAATTGCTAAGGATTTGTTATACAACACTACCGATAGTATACTTGTAATATTCCTGACTCAAAATTAATGAATATTTAATAACAAATATTTTCAACTCTGACATCTGTAAATATTACGTAAAAAAACAAAATAATTCTAACTTTTTTTAGAATTTTTTATTTGACCAGATATTAAAATAAAAGGACATAAAATAAAGATGATTGAGATAGCTCCACCATCTTTTTGTTTTTCTATTTTTTTAAATTTGGATTTAGCTTAGCCGGTAGAGCCAGGGCTATATCCAGCAGCCCAGCCCGTTACTATTCAGCTTAGCCCTTTTCTTTTTGTTAGGCGTGCGTGAATAGTGCTTCAGCAAATATGTAATGAAAATGCAAAACGGGCAAACAAAAGCTTACCTGGTTTACAGACTTTGAACAAGAACCTGTAGGTGCTGGACGAAGCTTCTCTTTTCCGCTTCCTTTCTGCTCTTTGTCCCGTCTTTTTCTTGTTCCTCCTGTTTTCGTTTTCTCACGTTTTCTCTCTCTCTCGTCCCCTCTGTGCTTTTTCTGGTTTTCGTTCATTGACTACCATATTATGCATGACTATTATGTTTTTGTCTTCTTTCTACAGCTTTAGCATGACTATTCTGACTACCATATTGTGCATGACTATTCTGCAGTGATTATTATGCATGACTTCAAAACAATGAAACCCAAACCATATTAATCTAAAGGATCTTAACAACTTTAACACTCTCTCTGTTTTTGTTTTCTTTTTGCTTTTTCGTTCTCTCTGTTCTTTTCTGGCTTTAGTTCCTTTGTTTCTTCTTCTTTTCTTTCGTTCTTTTTTTTTTTTTTTTTTTTTTTTTTTTTTTTTTTTTTTTCCCCCCTGGTTTTTTTTTTTTGTCCCCCCTGTGTTTTTCTGTTTGTCCCCTAGTTCTCTTGGTTTGCTCGCAGTCCCCCGGTCCACCACAGTTTGCTTAGCTATATGTAGTAGCATGAGGAGTGTTGGTGTAAGGCTAGTAATATGTTAATTTAGTTTTCTTGTAAATATAGGTATCAATGTAAATAGTTCAGCATACAATATTTTTACCCTAAAATTACTTGGTAACTAAAAATGTAAAAATGAATCAGCTAATACATATATTGATGGTACGCCTACTGTACCCATATAATACATTCTTTCTTGCTTACAAATAAAATACCAGTAAATTGTGAAAAGTGAAAATTGAAGATACTATCTTGAAAATTTCTAAAACCATCTTTCAAGGTCTATATGAAGCAATTAATAACCTCATAGTTCTCTCACTAACACATCCTAATGTATATGGTAAGCACGAGCATACAAAGAACATGAACGTTAACTTAAACTGCATCATCATCATAATCATTATCATCAATCAATCCTTCACCAACATCTCCAGTAATGCCACTTTGTCCCCCCTTACAAGGACCATAAGCCTTGCTACAAGCAAGATAATAAATGAAGTTAGCAAAACCCAAACTAGAAAGCAGCCAGTAATAGTAATCATAATGTCCTTTGTTGATGTTGCTTGAAACCCAACTCTCTTGATTTGCTTCACTAATATACCCACGAACATTACTTACTATAAAACTGGCCACCAAGCTTGCAGCAGACAGTCCAATACTAAAAAGATTCGAGGCCACGCTAGACATGCTTTTAGGCAATTCAGTGTAGAAGAACTCATTCAGTCCAACACCATTCATAGCCTCAGAAAATCCAAGTAAGAAATAAAATGGCAATAACCACATTGCAGACATGTGCGTAACCGCGTCAGGAATATCTGAAATTCCTTCCCTGATTGCAATTTCTCGTCGCACCCTCTCTATAATTGCCAGTACTGCCATGGAAGCAGCCGAGACCAGAATCCCAATTCCTATTTTCTGTTTCAAGCCGAGACGTGTTGGTTTTCCCGTGATTTTTGATGCTAGAGGGATGATTACGCGATCGTAGAGAGCAATCCACATTGTTGCGGAGAGCAACAGAAATGCATAGAATGATCCAGCAGGAATTTCAAATTTCGAAGTGATATGTCGGTTCATAGTGGATGCCTGGAGTAATAAGAAAGAGTTTTGACAGACATTTACAGACACCAACACCCCTGTCGACCATATCGGGATTACCTTTATTAGTGCTTTTAGCTCTTCTACTTGATCTACTGTACAAAGAGTCCATGGATCTGAAGCTCTTCCATCTGGCATCAAGTCTTCTTCAGGATTCTTAATAACACAAGCTCTGTTTAGATACCTAGGACAAGATAAGACAAGGAAATCCTTATAGGAACTATGATATATAAAATTACCTTATTAAGTGCTTCACAGGTAGGTTAATTACCTTATTCTTTCACTTGGCACGACAAGTGCAGATCCCTTCCTATGATGATACAGCTCATCCGTGTCTAGTGAAGATAATTCAATCCTCCTCTTTCTAAAGGAGGCCACGAGAACTCGAGCAAATCCGATGAGCCAGCTTGCCTTAGCCTTTGGCTTGACATAAATGGGCGAAGCCAAGAAGAACGAAAGAGTTGACAGGAACATGAGAACCACAGGAACTCCGAAACCCACCTTCCAGCCCATGGCCTCTTGAATGTAAACCACACAAGTCATAGAAATAAATACAGAAGCTGAGGATGTAACATAGTACCAGCTGAAGAAGCTCTCTAATATTCCAGCATGTTTAAGGCTGTCCCTCTTGCTCAATTGATCAGCACCAAAGGCCAGAGAGCATGATCTTATGCCACCAGCTCCAATAGACATGAGGCCTAAGCAAAAATATAGAAACAAAAGTTGTGGTGTCGTGGCGTCGTTATTGCAATTGGTACTGAATTGGGCGCAAGAAGGCACCCTTGCTCCAGGGATTATTGTTGTCAACCATAATAGAACCATTCCCTGCACATTTATTTGATTCCAGTTAATATTTTAACATAATTGATAGACTTGAGAATGTATTTTTTTTCTTATTCTGAACGTCAACCTCGTATTAAAGAAGTGCAAACAAGTTTAGTTTGACCCAAAATTCAGGCTTTTTTTTTTTTGGGAACTGGAACTTTCTTTCAGAGAATTGTAAAATAAGTAATTGACAAAGAAATTAAAGTATTTTCTTACTGTGAAGTGAGAATAATTTCGTCATTGAAAAGATAGTAATGAAGATTTGTTAATTTGGACAACACATGGTAATAGGACTTATTGAAGATTTTTTTAAAAGGATTTAAGAATAAAATACACACACATGTATGAAGTAACAGCATCCTGGAGAATTCTTTTTATTATTATTATTATTATTATTATTATTCCTTGTGAGATTATGTGTCCATCCAGACGGAGATATCTCATTACTTATAAAATATATTGTTGTTTTCATCGGCTTGTACGCTCGTCCTGCTATATTAAAAGAATTAATCACTGTCTGCTTTAATCAAAATAATACTGTGTTTAAAAATTTTATTCAAAATTATTTTAATGTAATAATATTAAAATAATTTTTTAAAAATAAATAATATTATTTTAATATATTTCCAAGCAAAAACTTTGAATTTTGCATCATTTGTTATTTTGTTATTCTTAAAAAAAACTAAAAATTAGGGTGATTTAAAAAAAATTAACTATTCTTTATATTACTAAATTATATCAACATAAACATTTTATTTACTTTAAGTGAAAATAAAATTTATCAATTACCCGGGCTCTCTCATGTGGTGTTAAAAAACCCCTTAAAAAAAAACTCATTTAAGAATAATTTTATATTTAATCTAAAACATATTATTATATGTTTTCCCTATAATAGGTGGGAGTCTAGTCAATTGCTACCTACTAACCCAACAAAATCTTGATTCTAGCATAAAAAAATATTAGCTTTAAAACTTTAGAAATAACAAGTAAACCATAAGAGATATAAGTGTATATAAAACACAAGATTAACTGTCCTTTTTCCCCCTTTTAAGATTAGCAATGGACTTAATTAATTGGAATCACCACTTTTGTTTGTGAGAGAATCGCCACTGAGCCATAGATCCGTTGGTCAGACACATGATTGTCTTTGTGACAAACAGAAGGAGAAAATAGAAAGACAAGAGTGATGATGCCGGAGCATGCAAAGTTGGAAAGAAATAATGTTACCAGAAGGCTCGCAATACATCCAAAGCCGATCATCGGGTATCGACCCACATATGTATCAGCAAGAAAAGCCCCAATAATTGGCATGAAATTCCCAGCAGCTGAGTAGAGGAAGAGTATTTGGGCACCGCTAGCTGCATCCATACCATACTCTCTAGTCAAATACAGTATCATATTTGTTGATAGCCCAAAACTTGCTAGCCTCTCCAGTGCCTCATTTGCTGTCAAAACATTAATTTAAACCACATTACTTGAATAGTAATATATATAAGCTGCCAAGTAACCTGCTGCTCATAATATATGCGTCTGCATGCATGTTGCTGAAAGTGTATTAAATACCTATGATGAAAAACAAGGCTCTTATGCCACCCTTCGGGCTGCTCAAGAGTGGCTCTGTGATCATCTCCTTCGGATCTGATTGTGCACTCTGTCGATGGAGGGAAAGCGCCTCACAGCGTCT